GTACAGATCTTAAACAATGGCAAGATATGAGACCTATAATGCATTATAACTATGAGAAATATAATCAATTGTAACTCAAGTGGATGCAATGTGTTCATTGTGTGTTATAAATCATCATACGCGTAACCACAAATAAGTATTATAATACATTAAAACTGTTCTTACGATTATTTATAAGATGATGCGACATATTATAAGGTTTCTTATAATGCATTATTCATTCCTTATAATGTTTTAAGAATAACCTTATAATGTATTATAAATACAGGCTTCATAGAAAGTGTTACCGTCAATAAGTATACTATTATAGCACTACTGAACAGCAAGCCATTATACATTGGTCCATACACGAGTAGCACCAGCATGCAGTTTATACAGTAGATTGTGTAAGTGCAGGAGCAGGACACTCACAAACACATTACATGGTCCGTCATACCTCTGCACTTCATCTGTGAAGCTCAGTTGTGTTGGTGTCCTATGCAGCACTCCTCTCAGTACAGTTGTTCCTCACTGTCGAGGTAGACAGGCACTCGGGAGGAGGTTAGCTTATGAGACCACCTAGAGGGCTTTCCACTGAGTACACCCTATGGGCAAACCATGGAGCAAAAACAGTTATTTTGAGGAAATTGATACATTTAAGACAAAGATACAATAATTTGCAGCATAGTTAAACGATATTGTTAATGTTAATCCTAATTAAGGCCCTTGGTGTATGGGGTTCCATTTGTGTCAAAAATGAGTCGACTGCTTTGTGTTTTGTACTATACATTTGTCTTTGTCTACAGTCATTGCCTACTTGTTCAGGTAAATCAGTATATGTAGGCGTGTATGTTGTGTGTTGACGTTGTCTTAATCTGTCGTCCTGCCTGCTTTTTCTCTGTCATTTAATTACTGTCGTCCTTATTGTCGTTTTGTTCTGTCGTCTTGTTCTGTCGTCCTTACTGTCGTCTTGTTCTGTCGTCCTAACTGTCGTCTTGTTCTGTCGTCCTAACTGTCGTCTTGTTCTGTCGTCCTAACTGTCATCTTATTCTGTCGTCCTGTTCTGTCGTCCTAACTGTCGTCCTGTTCTGTCGTCCTAACTGTCGTCTTATTCTGTTGTCCTGTTCT